TGCGAGGCGAATGTGGGACCTGAGTTTGAGGCCAGTGACAAGTTACTACCGCGAGCCGTGGCGGGGGCCGATGCTGACCCAGCCCTGTGGCTCCGTGGCATCCCCTCTGTCGCTCTCACTACGCCCGCGTTCGAACCATTGACTGGGAGGGACGGGTGGGAGCTTGTTGGTGCGGTGCGGGAGGGGTTGCCGTCGTGGGAAGGAGCTCGTAACGCTGAGGGCGAGTTGTTTCTTTTTGGCGACGGGTCTGGCGGCGCCTTTTCCGACGACGTCAGACGAAGACGTGTTGGTGCTGGCCTCGCGGCCCTCCGATGGGACCCTCCCTCGGCCTCCTGGACCCTCCACGCGGGCCCCCTCGCCCCCCTCCCAGGCCCCCGCCAGACCGTCCCAAGAGGCGAATTGCATGCGTTTTGCCTGGCACTGGAGACGTGCCAGCAGGATTTCACGTTTGTCACTGATCACCTAGCCCTACAGCGCGGCTGGCAGAATGGCAGATGTCTCCGACCTGGCAGCCTCAGAGGCAAGAATAAGAACGGGGATCTCTGGCTGAGAATTCGGCACCTCGTGCAGGATCGATCTGGCGGCTGCTCTTCGGTCTCGGTGCTCTGGACCCCATCTCACGCCGATCCCCCCACTGTGAATGGTTTCCAAAAATTTATCGCCCTCGGCAACCAGCATGCCGATGAGTTCGCGGGAAGCGCGGCCCACAAGTCGGCCACCCTTGCCCTCCCGCCTGTCCCCAGGACCGATGAATACGACGCTATTGCAGCCATCGTCCGACAGAGGGCTCGACTGATTTTACGTTCCTTAGGCAAGAATTCAGAGCCTCGGGGACAGTGGCCAGAGAGGCAACCCACCCAGGAGGCAGCCCCCCGCTCTCAGTTGCAGACCGCGATCGCGGCTTCTCAGCACAAATTCGAGCGGTGTGTCGACAAATGGAGATGCCCTGCCTGCCTCATCATCGTTGACGCTTGCCATGTTTTTCCAGCTGCCGCCACTGAGTGTGTGCCGCCTTGCCCCCTCCCCGAGTTCGCTGCGTGTGGAGAGGTGCTGTGGTCGAGGGGCCCCCGCGTGATCAGTGGCAAGTTGATCCACCCCTCCCACACTTTGGCCACCATCCCCAAGTGGCAATTGCTCTTTTGTGTGAAGTGCGGCCATGCGGCCACGCACCAAGTTAAAAGCCTTCTTTTGCCGTGCCCTCTCTCCCACCAAGTGGGAGAGCGCAGGGCCCTGGGACCCACTGGCAAAGGCCTCGAGAACCTCAGCAGGATCAGGCGAGGCCTCCACCCGTCCAGAGCGGGTCCCAGCAAGTCTGTGCTAGAGGCGTTGCATGTTTCGGCAGCCGAAGCCGCGATCGGTTCCTTCGCGGCGGGTGCTGCCACCGAGTAAATTGTGAGGCCAGGGGGGCCTGTCGCGGTGGGCCGTGGGATGTCGCCCCCCACGGCCCTCCGAGAAATACTGGATGGCCCCCCTGGCATCTTTGGGCTCCGAACGGACTACGTCCGATTGCTCCACTCCACTCCTGCTCCTCCTCCTCCTCCTCCTCTCCTCCTCCCCGTAGGGCGTCACTCCGCTGGCCCCCCCAGCAGCCTTCGAACGTGGCGACACTTTCGCAGATCGCAGCCCCCCCAGGGATGGCGAGATCTAATCTGAATCCCCGTATGACGTCACTCCGCTGGCCACCCCAGCAGCCCTCGAAAGTGGCGACAGTTTGACAGATCGCAGCCCCCCAGGGATGGCGAGGTCGAATCTGAATTCCCGAAGGGCGTCACTCCGCTGGCCCCCCCAGAAGCCTTCGAACGTGGCGACACTTTCGCAGATCGCAGCCCCCCAGGGATGGCGAGATCTAGTCTGAATCCCCGTATGACGTCACTCCGCTGGCCACCCCAGCAGCACTCGAAAGAGGCGACAGTTTCACAGATCGCAGCCCCCCAGGGATGGCGAGGTCGAATCTGAATTCCCGAAGGGCGTCACTCCGCTGGGCCCCCCAGCAGCCCTCGACAGTGGCGACAGTTTCACAGATCGCAGCCCCCCAGGGATGGCGAGGTCTAATCTGAGTCCCCGTAGGGCGTCACTCCGCTCGGCACCCCAGCAACCCCCGAAAGTGGCGACAGTTTCACAGATCGCAGCCCCCCAGGGATGGCGAGGTCTAATCTGAGTCCCCGTAGGGCGTCACTCCGCTGGGCCCCCCAGCAGCCCTCGAAAGTGGCGACAGTTTCACAGATCGCAGCCCCCCAGAGATGGCGAGGTCTAATCTGAGTCCCCGTAGGGCGCCACTCCGCTAGGCACCCCAGCAGCCCTCGAAAGTGGCGACAGTTTCACAGATCGCAGCCCCCCAGGGATGGCGAGGTCTAATCTGAGTCACCGTAGGGCGTCACTCCGCTGGGCCCCTCCAGCAGCCCTCGAAAGTGGTGACAGTTTCACAGATCGCAGCCCCCCAGGGATGGCGAGGTCTAATCTGAGTCCCCGTAGGGCGTCACTCCGCTGGGCACCCCAGCAGCCCTCGAAAGTGGCGACAGTTCCACAGATCGCAGCCCCCCCAGATATGGCGAGGTCTAATCTGAGTCCCCGTAGGGCGTCACTCCGCTGGGCCCCCCAGCAGCCCTCGAAAGTGGCGACAGTTTCACAGATCGCAGCCCCACCAGGGATGGCGAGGTCTAATCTGAGTCCCCGTAGGGCGTCACTCCGCTCGGCGCCCCAGCAACCCCCGAAAGTGGCGACAGTTTCACAGATCGCACCCCCCCCAGAGATGGCGAGGTCTAATCTGAGTCCCCGTAGGGCGTCACTCCGCTGGGCCCCCCAGCAGCCCTCGAAAGTGGCGACAGTTTCACAGATCGCAGCCCCATCAGGGAGGAGGAGGCGGGAGGAGGCGGGAGGAGGAGGAGGAAGGTGGAGACCACAGTGCTCTATTCAAAACGAGTACCCGACGCAGGAGGGTTGGGAAATAAACATACACCCGAAATGCTCCCAAAAGCTCAAAAATACTAAAAAATTGTCCCCGGACTATGTTTGGAGTATTTTTAGATTATGTTTGGGGTATTGTTTGTTTTTCGTCGAAAATCCCCCTGTAGGGGGACAGGCCCGACATACTCTTAGGGGGGCAAGCGGGAAGGGGGAGAGGGCATCGAGAGCGTGGGAGTGATCGGAGGCGTAAGCAGAGCCCTCCTCTCGCTTATCCACGATCCAGGCAACTCGATGGACGGCGGGGGGGGGGTCGGAATTTCAGGGGCGGCAAAAAGAGGGGCGATGACTAGGGGGGGGGGATATCATGGCGTGGTCATGATATTTCCCCGGATTTCACGGCGCCTCTTCTTATTTCAGTACGTCCCTGGCCCCTCCGCTGGGCCGCGCACATGCTGCTGGTCATGATTTGCACCCCCCCTTCTTGGACACCCCCCTCTTGGCCGCTCCCGAGAATTCGTTGAACGAGGCGCGGCGAAATCCGAACCCTACCCCTGGCAGGGGATGGTGCGGAAGGAGCGCGTCCAGGTTCAAGGACTGGGGTATATGGTCAAGTTCAGCATCGGCGCTTGTAGATCCATGCTCCAGCCCAATCCAGCACGATCCCGTTTCACCTCTTTTGATTTCGCTGAATCTTGCGAAATCCAGACTCGTCGGGCTCCGCCCTTGGCCTAGACCAGGCTAGTCCAGCTCAGTGGCCCTTTCATCGGGCGCAGTCGCACATCAAAGTGCTCTTGCAGAGACCACTCGGGAGCTGAGCCTTGACGACCCCCTGCCCGTTCCCGAGCACTCGAAAGCCGGTCGGGCCCGCTGGTGAGGCATAGGGCTCAGCGTTCCCCCCCGTGCCTGCTCCCTTGACATCCGACGTTGCGACATCGCGGCATATCGCGAAAAGTCACGACCAAAGCCTCACACAGACCCACGCCCCCGACGTGTTTTTGTTTTGTTCTTTCCAAAAGGTCGGTTCCCAGAGGTCTGGACCCCTTCCCCGCTAGTTGTTTTTCATCCTGAGTCGCTGTTTGGGGCCCGGGGCCCGGAAAGGGCCCTTGCAGGCCGGAACAGCGAAAAAAATCGAGTCTTGCTTTTTGGTCACAACGCGAGGGGGACCTCACCCTTTTGCGGCGTTCTTTTCAAACAGGAACGACCCGTGATGGCCCAAGGGCCCGAAGTTGGGCGCATCGGGGATGGACAGAGCCCCTTTTTGTAAAACGTGGCTTCGTGCAAGCGATCTCGGGCCCAAGCCTGGCGGGCGCGAGCCTGGAAAATGATGGCCGCGGCGCCCTCTCAAGAACCGACAACGGACAATCCGCGAATCGACGTGTCAGGGTGGGGTTCCGTCCACCCCCCGGCGAATACGCCCCGTGTGGAAGATTTGAGTTGCTGCAGCGCCCGGATGCCGGGGTCCCCAACGGCCGCCGGCCGGGCACAGGGTTAGGTTAGGGGTGGATCGGACGGGGCTGGGCCGAGGATGTCATCACACCAGAGAAAAACCCAATCAGTGGATGGTTTGATCGATAAATAAGGAGATCGACCGGGAGCCCGGGAGCCCGGAACACGCCGAAATTGGCCCGGAACCAATCATCAGGAATCCGGGAACCCAGAACTGGGAACCCGAGAACCCAGCCGGCCACCAAAATCGGCGGGACATGTTCGCCAAATCGTTCAATTTCCCCTATAGGACCCCTTCAGTGCAAGCACCGATTGGGGAATGCCGTTCTAGAGAGTTCAGGGGGAACGCTCTGAGAAGGCCGCAGCGCCCGAGACATCTTCCAGAGCCGTTGGATCTCAGAGATTTCCAACGCATTCTCGCCCGATATCGTCATCGTCCTCGTGGAGATCGAGACATGCCGATGCCGCCACTCCACAGGCCTCTCCGGGGGCTGCGTTCTCACTCACGACTTCGAGGCGAATCCAGCGGTGGCGACGAGGGCCTCTCAGGAGGCCCCCCCAAAAAAGGGACCACGGGCGCAGGGCATGGAGGCATGGGCACCCCTTCCCCTCCTCTGAGCCCCGGCTGCGTCTCCGGGGGGCGGCCCCAGGGCAGCCTGCGGTCCCTGGACGCCCCGACGGACGGCACGCCGGCCAGCAGCCGGCAGCCCGCCGGGGCCGAGGAGGGCGGCCCCGCCGCCGCCCGCGAGGGCCGCAGTCGGCCGCCGTCGCCTTCGGGCGGCCAGATGAGGAGCAGGAGGAGGAGGAGGAGGAGGAGGAGGAGGAGGAGGAGGAGGAGGAGGAGGAGGAGGAGGAGGAGGAGGAGGAGGGAGGGAGAGGAGGGACAGGAGGAGGGGAGTCGGGGCGGTGTGCGGCCTGCGGCCTTCGGCGGGCGCCGGCGTGGCCGTCGTGGTCCGGCGCCGTGCCTCAGGCGCAGAGAGGCCCCCAGACACGAGCGCCAGCCTTCTCCAGGGGTCCGAGGGTGTCTTTCTGCGCGCACGATGGCATACCACATACATATATATATATATATATATATATACACATACACACATACACACATATATATATATATATATATATATACGTACATACACGCACCCAGAGATCCAACGTAATCAAAAAAACTCGACGGAGTTTTTTCGCAGCTTTCGGCCTTTAGGGGCCCTTACCGGGCCTCGGGACCGTCAAAAAACGACTCAGGACGAAAAATTGATCCATAGGAATGGGTCGAGACTTCCAGGGACCCCGTACTGAAAAATTCACGACATCGGATCTCTGGGTATATTGATGCGTGTGTGTGTAGAAACGGTGGCCATCCTCGTTCCAATGTGCATGTGCACCCTGATTCCCGAATACTTCCTCGACGGGCCCCAGTTCATTCTGCTGATCAGCAGCTGCCGTCGCATCCTCATCCGCCTCAACAACAGTCCTTCTGTGCAACTTGTTTCCCATATTGTTGTTGCTGCTGTTGAATACTCATGTCTTAAACTTACGGTTGATCCCCCTCCGGTGCGAATCCATTGACGTGCCAATGCCGGGGACCGCAACACTGTTGTTATCAGGGAATCCTTGCACCTCATGTAGGGTCCCTGGCCCCCGAACTACAACAAAAACGGCCCCAGCCTGATACTTCCTCCCATTTCAAAGAAAGATGCGGGCAATACTTATATCCATATCCAGAGCGTCGTGGACTTGTTGGGAAGGGGTTCCGCAAGGCCGAGCCACACCGTATCTGGATAAAAAAACAAAAGCCTTCTGGGGGAAAAGTTCATCCATATCCAGTGCGCCTCCGGTTACTGGGGAAGAGAGCCCAAAGCGTCAAGACGCACTGGATGTGGATATAACAATTGCCCGCAAAAGACGCGCTCTCGTGCGGGGCGTCCTTACAAGGTCTCAAAGGATCGGGCTCTCGCGTGGGATTTCTTTGCAGTGGATTGGGGCGCCGCGCCCTCGACACTCGGGAATCACGCTTTCGCTTTGGACTTCCTCGCGATCATACGTGGGAATCGAGCTATCCTTCGAGATCTCCTCGCGATTGATGCAGGACTGGCGCTTCAGCGACCCGCCCGCTCAACCAGGTCGTCTGGGTCCGCCCCGCCCGACCCGCCCGTTAGGGTCCGCCCGCCCGCCCCGCCCCGTCTGGTTCTGCCGTTTGTTTTCCTGCTCCTGGCTCCTAACCCCCCATCCTGCCATGTCGTGCTCCTGCTCCTAACCCCCTACCCCCTATCGAGGAGGAGGGGCGGGGAGGAGCGAGGAGGAGGAGGAGGAGGAGGCTTTCCTGCTCCTAACATCTTCTCCCTCCCCCATGTCCCTTCCCTCCTCCCTCCCGTCCCGTGTGTTAGGGGCTGCGCCTACTACATGTGGCAGGTAAGGAAGATATACCCCCAGAGGGGTACGATCGAAGACGAAGAGGGCGGGTATCGAGAGTTTGGGATACACATGTGGAGTGACGCGCGAGCCGATCAGAGCGAACAGTCGTAAAATGTATGTTGGAGTCCTGACATAATCCCGAATGAGAGAATCCGAGCGTCCAGGGCGGAGATCGAAACAAGCCTCCTCGAAGAGGAAATCGAAGCTCCATATTTGGCGGCTCTCGAGCCCAGGAGCCGCCCAAGGGTAAGCCGTCTCAACACTAAGCAGCTCGCTTTTTGTCTAGCATGCAGAGTGCTAAGCAGTACTGTACCACTGCTTGTACAACTCTCGAACCACCATACCGCTATTGTGCCTCTGCTCGTACCGTTGGCCGCCCGATGTTCGGACTCGGTGACCTGCTGCAGACCGGGGTTTGCGCATCAAGGGTTTTGTTGTTTCCAGGAGGGAGAAAACACAGACACAATTTATCGTCGATTCCCCCGAAAATATAGGAAAATATGGGCAGTGGGGGGGAAGACAAAAACCCAGAATCCATGGGAAAATATGGGGCATCCTTTTATTTGCGTCTATTTATTAGTGTGTCCCAGGGCCCCCTCATGTTTGTCCTGTGCCTTTGGGCTTCCTTGAGCGCTCTCCCCTCCCCCTCCCCCCGCGCAGGCACCCTCGTCTTGTCTCCTCCCGCTTGCCCGCCAGACAATTCGCCTTTCGGCTGCCCAGCATACGGTAGAGGGAAACAATTCGTGGACACGCCCCCGGCCCCAAAACCCAAACGTGGCAAGCGCGGGGAAGATTGCAGTCGAAGTGCAGCTCATTCAATTCACCGCCAACATTGATCATGGGGGGGTGGGGCATCGACAGATGACTGCGGCGTGAGTGTTCGCTAATTTCTTCCGAGGCCTGTAGCCACGCGCTGGGGCGGATTGCCTCTGCCGCGCCGCCGGCGAAAAAAAGTCATGGAGCTTCTTGTCGCTTCTTTGAGGCCACTGGGAGGGGCCCGGCCCTTCGACAGCCGGCTTTTGCTTCGGCTCGCCAGCTCCCAGAAGGCCCTCGACCGCTCCTGCCAGGGACCAGCTTGTCTTCCGTGTTTCTTTTCTCGTGATCTTGCGATGGCCCCCGGGCGCCGAAAACGGGGAACAAGACTCCGTCCGGCGCGACATGGCTTGAGCTGCCAAGGATATTTGAGCAGAGGGGGCCCCCAATCCATGCCGCCCTTCTCGGGGCTGGGGGGGGGCTCCGAGCAGATGGGGTCGGAGGGGGTCGCGTCGAGAAGAGTATGTGGAAAAAAACACCTAAACCTACCCTCCCACCCTAGGTGTGCACAACCACTGGGCAGCATACATGCGTCTGAAGTTATTTCGCTGCACCCGTGTGGAAACGCAGGGAACCGCCCCCTCGCATGAGAAACGCAGACTCTTCTCAGCACGGTCGGAGGGTCGCGCCGCACCGCCGACGGCACTGGCGGTGCGGCTCGATCCGGGGACCGAGCTTCGCCATGATGCCGACGTCGCCGAGGCATCGGCGATGCGGCCGCGATCCTCCGACACCAGCTGCCCGGGCCGCAACCTGGGCGGCTGGGGGCCCAGAGGCCCGAGCTGCAGCCCTCCCGCATCGTAAGGATGGGCAACCCTCCCAACTTGGCATCCCAGGTCTCTCAACAAGCGTGGGGGGGGGGGGATCGCGTGGGGGGGGAGGGAAACCGCTGTCCTTCGAGGGGCGTGGGGAGGTTGGGGAGCGAGGGGGAGTGGGCTTGGGGCACGTCGGGGGGCGGGCAAGGGGCGTCGGACAGGTTGGCCCGGGGGGGGGGGCTTATTGAAGGATCTGGGGTGCCCTTGCATCCTTGCCTCCTCGGCCCGTCCTTGGCCACTTTCGTTGGCTGCGCCCCGCTCGAAAAGCTTTGAAGTGGGCGTCCAAGGCCCTTGCATCCTGATCGTGCATATTTATGATACGGGCCGAGTGTTTTTTTTTCAAGTGCTTCAGTACGGGGTTCCCCGATCCTTCCCCGGGTCCACTTCTGCCTCCTGAGCTGTGTTGTCCACGGCCCCCGGGCGGGGCGGGGGCCCCCCGAGGCCGAAACCGCGAAAGCCTCCGCACTGCACTTTTCCATACGCCTGGGGCCTGGGCATCGTCGTCCTCGCCGTCGCCGTCGTCGTCGCCGTCGCCGCTGGCACTGCCCGACGCGCGCCCGCGCGCGCCCCGAGGCGGAGGCCCGGCCCGACCTGGGCGAGGCGAGCCCGAGGCGGGGCGGGGGCCCCCGGAGCCCGCCGCCCGGGGCGAGGCAGGCGAGTGCGGCCCTGGCGTCGCCGCTGAAGCGCTGGCAGGCGGGCTCCCGCTCGCGCGCGCGCGCCGGCTGCCGGGGGAGGAAACTCTTGCTTGGCATCGCTCGGACGTGGGCATTTTTCCTTCGGCGAGGACCATCGAGGAGCATCCCTGATCATGTGGCGAAGAAGCCACGCACGAAACCGAAATCAACACAGGGGATGGACGTCCGAGCGATGGCGAGTCTGGGCCTCCCAGATCGGAGTGTCGCGCCGCATCGATGTGCAGCCCGACTTTCTCCGCGCCGACGTCGCCGACGAATCGCCGACTTCGCCAGCGCAGGGCCGATGCATCGGCGATGCATTCGCGATGCGGCGCGATCTTCCGACCCCATCTACTCGGACTCCATCTAGGAGGCCATTGGAAAAGGTGCCTACACCGCTACCCTCGCCTCACTTTCCCCTTTTTGGGCCCTCCTGGGAGGCCCTCAGCGCCACCGCCGGATTCGCCTCGAACTCTTGGTCCGAACGCACTCCGGGAGAGGTCCGGGAAGTAGCGGCATCGGTACCGTTTGGCTTCCCCACGTGCTGTGCGCGGGGGGGGTCCTGGGAGGCGCTCTTGGACCTTCGGAGGTGATGGGCCGATTTTCCACCTCCTCCTCCTCCTCCTCCTCCTCCTCCTCCTCTGTCTCGTTCTGAGTACGGGCGTATCCTTCCTTCCGCCTCCCCTCGCCTCCCGCCTCCTGCCTCCTGCCTGCGTCTTTCCTACCACCTGGACTAGATCTCACGGCGGCCACCTGCGCAATTGTCGCCACTTTCGTGGGCTTACGGGGGTCCGGGCGCAATGGCGCCATGCGCGCACCCGAGCTAGACCTCGCGTCTCTGTGGGGTTGCTGCGACCTGCTTAACTGCCGCCACTTTCGTTCGCTCCTGGGCAATCCGGCGGGGTGGTCTTACGCGCATCCAGACTAGACCTGGCGTCTCCCTGGAGTGTTGCCACTTGCACAGCTGCCGCCACTTTCGTTGGCCCCTGGGAGGTCCAACGCAGTGGCGTCATACGCGCATTCAGACTCAACCTCGCGGCTCCCTGGTAGTGCTGCCACATGCACACCCGTAGCCGCTTTCGTGGGCTCCTCAGGGGGGCCAGCGCAGTGGCGTCATAAGCGCACTAGACCTCGCGGCCGCCTGGGGGTGCTGCCACCGTGGCATCCGCCGCCACTTTCGTGGGTTCCTGGGGGGGCGAGCGGCATGGTGCCTTAGGCACATCCAGACTACGTACACCTCGCGGCTCCCTGGGGTGCTGCTACCTGCACAGCCGTCACCACGTTCATGGGCTCCTGTTGGGGCCAGCGCAGTGGCAGCGGATCCATCGCACATTCAGACCAGACTTCGCATCTCTCGGAGGTGCTGCCACCCGCGCAACTTTCGCCGCTTTCGTGCGCTCCTAGGAGGTCCCGCGGAGTGGTGTCTTACGCGCACCCAGATTCGACCTCGCGTTTCTCTGGGGGGCTGCCACCTGCGCAACCGTCGCCACTGTCGCGGGCACCTCGGAGGCCGAGTGGCGTGGTGCCTTCCGCACATCAAGACTAGTCCTCGCGCCACCTGCGCAGCTGTCGTTACGTACGTGGGCGCCTGAGAGGTCCCGCGGAGTGGTCTTACGCGCATCCAGGGGAAACGTCGCAGCTCCTTGGGTGTGCTACCACCTGCGTAGTTGTCGCCAGTTGTGTGGGCTCCTCGGAGGCCTCGCGGAGTGGTGCCGTACGCACATCCAGACTACACTCTCACGGCGGCTTGAGGTGGCTGCGACCTGCTTCGCCTCCTCCGTGTGGTCCCTGGAGGCCCAGCAGGGCGAAGGTGTCCGCGGATCCAGACGAGACTTGGCAGCTCCTGTGGGCGCTCGTTGGTGTCGTCCCTTATTGTGGTTTGAGTTGTGAGAGCGCGTGCGTGGGTGGGGGCGTTGAACGTGGTCCGACGTTGTTTGGCGAAGAGCTCAAGCAAATGAAGCCGTCGGATGTCTGGGGGGGCCCAGACGCTGAAGATCTCCACAGTACCGGATCGACCTTCAGTCTGGATGGACCCCTTGGATTGCCATCTGGGGCCCCAATCGGTTCGGTGACCACACCGCGTGGTGAGTCAGTGGCTATTCGAATTGACCCCACGGTTTTGGAGTTTGGGTCGTTCTCCGAGGATGTCTCGGGCGATTGGGGCCTTCAGGGTCAAAGAACCGTGCGGTGGCGGACCGTCTTGTGAGGTCTCTTGGGGTTTCGAGGTCACCGCTCGGTCTGTCACCGCTAGGTCACCGTTTGTTCTGCCAGTCTGAAATCTTTGTTACCCCAAAATGACCTCTTGGGAGCAAAAGGTGCATCATCAGCACCAGCAGCCGCGGAGGTGCAAGCAGGAAGAGATGGGAGCTGCGGGATGAACGGCAATGCTGACAGGAAGAAGTCCAGTACCAGTGTGAGTAGGACGTGCCGGATAAGGTGAGCGGCGACGAAATTGAGGAAGTTGACAGAGAGGGGGGAGAGGAATGGAGGAGGAGCAGGAGCAGGAGCAGGAGCAGGAGCAGGAAAAGGCGGGGGTGAGGGCGAATAGGGCATTAGGTCAAGTGGAGATGGATGCGGTGCAGCAGGACGGCGGTATGGTGGAGTAGGACTGTGATATGGAACAGGCGAAAGGGGGAGGAGCAGATGCAGCAGCGTCAGCAAAGCATGAAGGAATTTCGGAGGACCATGAGATGAAGGTGGGGGGGAGAAGGTTGAGGAAGGCGAACAACTTTGCGGTCCTGTGCTGACGCACACGCGCATTTGTGTTTTTCTGTGTGCACCTCCGGTTGCTACCTGTATCAATATGGTTGCCTCAAGTATCTGCCTACACAGTTCTTTTAAGACGCTCTCTGTCTTGCTTGCCCTTCCAGCCACGTCGCGCGCTACACCTTGCAGAGGCATTCGGTCAACTCTGCTGGGCTGCGAGACCCCCGAGAGCTCCTACAGACGTCGGGCTACGGAGTGTCTTCGTCCGACGGAGCTCGCCCAGAGGACTCGGAGCTTCGAGGTGGTCGGCGGCCGCTAGCTTGTCGCCCGCTTTGCCATCCCTTCTTTCCCTCTCTCAGAGGAGGAAAGGGTACTCATACCTCTACCCTTCGGCCGTTTTCATCTTTTTGGACCTCCTGGGAGGCCCTCGTCGCCACCGCTGGATTCGCCTCGAAGTCCTGGTCTGTACCTCTTGGATCCATCACCCTTCCCGCTCGCCTCCCGTCAGACCTTCCCCCTGCTTCCCCTTTCCCTCTCCTCTCCTGCTCGTCCTCTTGCTCCTCCGCCGCCTCCTTCACAAATGCGCACTACTTGTTTTGATTGCGCACCGAACGATATGGGGTTCGCTATGGAAGCCCAGGTTCGCTATGACACACGTCGGCGGATGGAGGGCAGACGTAGTGCAAATGAAAACGGATGGGTGGGGCGGTGGGTAAGATGTCGGATGTGGCGCGGGCGCGCTTAGCTTGTCTCCTTCCCCTCCTCCTCCCTGCACCTGCGAGGGAGGGGCTCAGCCGCGACTCTGGTACGGACCCGTCACCTCCCCTGATCCAGATCGCTCCCTGATCCAGATCGCGCGGGGCGCCTCTTAGAGCGTCTTGGGCGCCTCGGCGAGCTTCTCGGGGCCTCTTAGGGGTCTTTTGGGAGCCGATTGGAGGCCTCTTGGGCGCCCGTTGGGGCCTCCTGGGGCCTCCTGGGCGCCTCTTGGGGCCCTCTTGAAGCGCTGTTGGAAGCCTTCGGAGCGCTCTAGGAGCCCTCTTGGGCCATCTTGGAGCCATCTTGAGGCCTCGGATGGCCATCAGAAGCGAAAAGGCGATAAAGCCGAAAACACATATTTGTTGTTCCCGGGGTTTTGGAAGGATTTGGGCCTGGGGGAGCTCGTTGGCCAAATGGAGCCGTCTTGGCGCGGTCGGGGCCTCTTGCAGCATCATGGGAACCATAGGCGCTCTTAGGGTCATCTTAAGCAGTGCCCCCCCCTCCAGGAGGCCAAAGTGTGGCCAACACCTTAGTAACATCAATGATTTTGGCATTCTCGCTGGGGCCTCTTGGATCGTCTTGGGCGCCTCTGGGGGGCTTCTTGGGGCATCTTGGGGGTCTCTTGGGAGCCTCTTGGGGGCATCCTGGGGTCCTCGTGGGGGCCTCTTGGGGCCTCCTGGCAGTAAAGCCAGTTATTTTGGCTTCCTCGCCGAGGCCGTTGTGGACGCACCAGCGACACGCCGAACGCCCCGTCCAGGTCCAGGGGTGGAGGTAAAGGGAGGGGTAAACCCTTCTCCGAAGAGGAAGAAGGGGGTGGAAGAGGAAACGCCCTAAACCACATGCCCTCAAGGACTGGTGGGATTATGCGTCGGCCGTCCAAGACCCAGGGGTGCTGCTGGCTAAGCTCGGTGTACAGCCTGCCGCTTCTCAACGGCCGGGGCCGCCTCCTGAAGCACGGGATCTGCCTGCAGGCGGCGTCGGGGTCGGCCATCAGGTTATGCATCTCCCTGGTGTCCCTCGCCGGAACGCAACTGCACCCTACCCCCCCCCCCACCACACACATACACCTACTCCTACCTGTATATATGTATGAGGTTGATGGGCATAGTTGTACATGTGGATGTACCTATATACATATATAACAAGCCAACGGCGGGAGCATGCGTTTGGCTCTGCCCGAGAGGTGCAGAGAGGGTGCGGGCGCGCAGGCGTCGACCAGGAACGTGCTGCACGCTTTCGGGGCCGCCGCGGCGCGCTTTGCCGTGCGCGCGGTGTTCGTCGCGTGGGCGGGCCAGAGGTGGCGCGGCCGGACACGGGGCGAGGACGGTCGCGGTGGGTGACCGCGTTTGCGGGGGCGTCGTGGTCGTCGGCGCTGCTGTCGTCGTCGCCGTCTTCGCTGCCACCGCGGCTGGTGTCTTCGGCGCCGTCATCTTGATGATCTACCATCGTTGGCGGTGGCTACCAAAGAGCGTCGAAACTCACAGGACGTGGAGGGTTATTATGTTTTGGTGTGTGTGTGTAACCTCAGAAGGTCTTTAGTGCTAGCCGCCCCCACTCCTAAATTTTCGGCTGGCGAGTCAACTCGTCCGTCCTCTCTTCGTCCTTCCCCTCCTCGTCATCGTTTTTTCCCTCCCACGCAATGGGCGTCTCCTGCACAGCCTGTGCGTACAAGGATATGGAGGGGGATGAGGAGGAGGAGGAGTGCGATGGGGAGGAGGAGGAGGAGGAGGAGGAGGAGGAGGAGGAGGAGGAGGAGGAGGAGGGGAGGGGAATGGGAAACAGCCTTCTGCGAATACGTTCAGCGGCGACCACGACGACTGCGGCTCATTTTCCAAGTATCGTTTGGGGTCCCATTCCGTCAATAAGACCGCGCGGAAAATTATTATTTGTTCATTATTGAGGCAGGGGTTGAAGACATTCTGCGGTCACACATACCGCAAGCAGTGCTTGCACATAGAGGTTCTTTTTCGTTTTCTGAGGAACTCAGCCTGCGCGTCGGCATGGCGGCTATGTGGTTGCTTTCGCCGCCCCATCGCCGCCTCGTCGCCGCCCGTCGTCTGGGCCTGCGCGTCAGGTCCGCTTCCTTGTGGGTGCCGCCACCGTCCCGTCGCCGCCCCATCGCCGCCCGCCGTCTGGGCTCCATTGTCGGGTCCACCGCCTTGCTGTCGCCGTCGCCGCCTCGTTGCCCCCAGTGTCCGGTCCGCCGCCCTGTTGTCGCCGTCGCCGCCCCCGTCGCCGCTTCGTCGCCCCCCGTCGGCTTGGTTCCAGTGTCTGGTCCGCCGCCTTATTGTCGTTGTCGCCGCCTCGTCGCCGCCCGTCGCTTGCGCTCTAGTGTCTGGCCCGCCGCCTTGCTGCCCGCAGCCCAGTCGCCGCGTCGTAATCGCCCGTCGATGTGCATTGCTGTTGTTTTGCAATGCGTTATTTTGCAGCACATAGATTGTGCTATATGGTCTGCACGGCCTAGATTGCACCACGTTGGCTGTACCACCTAAACTGCGCTGGATAGAATTCAAAACAAAACATGTTCCGCGGCCCGCGATGGCGAGAATACGCTTATATAACACATGCTGCACATACAACAGATGTAAGTGTATACGCATATTACACCTATAACATGCACACACGCACATACATACATGTATACGTATACACAGAATGCAAACCTACAAATATTCGTACACGAGCGTGGACCCATGGATTACAACCGCGGAGTTGAGAGGATCGAGGTGTCGCGCGTTGGATGGCGCGAAGCTGCCATTTATTGGCGTCGCTTCTTTGAAGTTTGTATTCGTATTTGGCCATTGCAAGCGCTCAGTGCACTGATGCGGGGCCCAGGTATGCGAGGTTCACGAAAGCACGGGGTTCCAGAGGCCAGGCTGGATCAGCGTTGGAAGATTCGCGCCAGGATCGCGGCGAACGCGGGAGCGGGCCAGGGCAAACAAGGCGACGTAAAGATCACAGTGGGGCAGAGATGTCGCACATGATGAGAACACATCGCGTCACTTACTCGCCGCGTCGGGCGTTTGTTGGACCGTCACGGGGCCGTCTTGGGTCATATCGGGCGCCTCGTAGGCTTCTCCTGAGGGCCATCTTTGGTTGTCTTGGGCCTCATTTCGGGCCCCACGTCTGGTCCTCTGGGGCCGTCATGGGCAGTTCTGGGGCGGTCTGAGGGCATCTGGAGGACCTCATGGGGCAATCTTGATCGTTGGGGCCGTCTTGGACGCTTCGAAGGGCAAGACATCGAATCCGCTGAAAATGGTAGTTCTCCGCAAGGTAGTGTGGCGATGTTTGCTTGACGGATCCCTCTAGGGGATCTCCGTGGAGCTCTGTGGATGCGTTCGGGGTGCTGGTCGGGCATCGGGGGCGATTTCTGGAGCCGGCTTTGGCCTTCTGGGGTGCTTCCTGGGGGGCCAGTAACGATTCTGCGGGGGAGCGATTCTGCTGGCTTCCAGGGCCGTTTTGAGGCCGCGTGGGTGATTCATTGGCTGACGCCGCACCGCCGACCCCTTGGGGCGGCAGTGAGAGAGAACAACGGAGTTTGCGCAACGCGCGCGGGCTCTGGGGAATCTTAGGGTTCTTATTGTTCTGGGGAATCTTCGGGAATCTGGGGAATCTGGGTTTTAGAAATGTTCGAAACTGCTTTGTGGGGGAACAAACATGGGGAATCTCAGGGTCTAGCTTCCTGGGGATTTCGTCGGGGGCGGTGGGCGGCTCGCGGCTCTGCTTTTGGGCTGCGAGGGGCTCTCCTGGCAACCTTTTTGAGGCCTCTTCCAGGGGGACGTGTGCAGGCTCCCTGGGGTACTTCGCCACCGAGTTCCTGTACAAGGCGTTCTTTTGCAAGCACGTCGTCTTCGGCACCGCCTGATCCCGAGGCTTTGCCTCCTCCTGGCCTTGCCGTGAGGCCGCTCTACTTCTGCCCCCCCTTTTGTTAATTCAAGCTTCGCGCGGCCCGCTTAGCTTCGACTGGAAGAGGTGCGGTCTCGACCCGCGAATCAAACAAGTGCAGGCCCCTGGGAGCCTTTTTGGGGGCCTCTCGGGGGCCTCGTGGGAGCCTCTTGGGGGCCTACAGGTGGGGGCGCGCGCCAAGAAACCAGCTGGATTTTGCCCGGGTGTCTTGGGCTTCTTGGATTTTGATGGGCTCCCAATCAGATCTCGACGATGTTCGATCGACACATGTGGATTTTCACGGCACAAGTCGCGCATTTCAGGGTTGGGTTTCTTGCGGAGGCGCCTTGTGGCCGAGACCCCCCTGCAGTGGCGCCTCCTCAGGGTTTTCCGGGGCCGAGTGCTCGAAATGTTCACTCGTGTTCCCCCTCTGGGCCTCCTCTTGGGGCTGTCCTGGGGCCCTCCTGGGTCGTTTTGGAAGCTTCTGGGGCCGCCTTGGGGCCCTCTTGGGCCGTTTCGGAGCCCTATTAAGGGGGGTTCTTGGGTTATCCTGGGGCGATCTTGAAGGCTTCTTGGGCCGGTGTGGGCCTCGTGAAAGCCCAAGAGGCGACTGTGCTAAACAGAGACGCTTTCCCTACGGAGTGGGACGATTTTTGCTTTTGGAGGGCGTCTTGGGACGCCTCTTGGTGGCTTGTTGGGGCGTCTGGGGGCCTCTGAGACCGTCTGGAGGCAATCTTGGGCGTCTTGGAGCGATCTCTCGGCGACTCGTAGCCTTCTTGGACCGTCAACGGGGGCCTTTTGGGGCCTTCTGGGCCAGTCTTGGGGCCCCCTGAGGCTCCAAGGGTGCAGCCCGACACCTTTGCCCCCCCCCCCCCCCTCCAAACCGGCCGGGCCGGGCTTCCGGGGGAGGTGTTTGGGGAGGGGGGAGCATCTCACACGCCGTGACCCCAAGGGGTCGGCGGAGTTTGTCAACCGTCTTTGGCCGTTCGGGGGCCTGTGTGGGGCCGCTGCGGGGCCGCTGTGGCCCCTGGGAGACCAGAGGCCTTCCTCCCAAGCCCACGCAGGCCGCTTTGGATTTATGTGAACAGCTCTATGGGTTCGTGGGAACGAAGGGCGCCCGTGCAGTGGCGCTGTTTGGACAGCCTGCTCTCGCATCTTCAAGAAACACTCTAGCAGAAAGGGCCATCACTGAAGAGCCCTTCATAAAAAATATGGTCAGTGCCGAAAAAACTGTGACCAATAATCCTTCCTGGGGAGTCTTTATACAAGAACCTTTTCGTGACGCAGTCTTCGACAAGGCCTCCGTATTCAGGGTTCGACAAGAAGGGTCCGTTTTGAGAAGCCATTACCAAGGAATGTGTAGTAACCGAACTGTTCTGAAGGACCCCTTCTCAAGAGCAACCGTTACAACATGATCCTCAGAGAAATTCCCACATAAGCAATGGTTACTATGGGATCTGTCGTGGACAACCCTTAATATTGAACCTGTCTTCAGGGCGGAGTCCTTAGTAACGCGTCCTTGCTGAATAACCCAGGAAAGAACAACCTGCACGATGGAGCCTTTTTTCACCAATGAGTCCTTCAATAGGACTCCATGAGGCAGAGTCATCACTGACGAGTCCTTCGTGAAGATTCCTGAAGTGGCGAGGGCGTCGGCTTCTTCAGAACTGTTGTGTTCATGCTGTTGTTAGGAAATATTGCAGCGTCGGCAGGCGAGTTTGGGGTTCAGGAGCCGACCATCTGGACTGATTTGTTGTCAGGAGTGTCCAGTAACAGTTCCTTACAAATGAGCATTTTTTATTGGAGAGTCTTGAAGACAGAGCACCTTCGAAGGAGCTTTTGCTGAGGACTCCTTCGTAAAGAGTCCTTGTTGGAACAATTTCAAACGCACAACATCCTGGTTGTAGAACCCTTCACGGGAAACCCTTTTGAACGTCTTCCAAGTTCACCAGGCGAGGTTTCCAAATGTCCAAGACAATTTTTCAAGAAACATCACGAAAAAGGATAACACGACGTCCCCTGACTTCTCAGGACTTTCAGAATCCATGTGTTCTGTTGTGGTGGCTGTCTGTTGTTCAAGCGTGTTCAGCTCGAGGCGCCGTTCGTCGACACCCCAAGTCGCACCTTAAGCTGCGTTGGGCACTTCGTCATGGCTCAATCACAGAGTTCGCTCGTTCGGAACCTGGAGTTGCAACAAATACGGGCGTCCAGCCTCCCACTCGCCCATGTGAACACACACGTATATGTACATGCATCTACATACATAGATACATGTGTGCACGCGAGACCGAAGTAAAACGTGAGGTGCCCCAGCGGGAAATTCGAGTTCGGTCTCGGCCCATGCCGTGCGTGACGCTCGTGCGAGGCGAGGCGTAGTTGCGCGAGCTCGTCCTCCAGTGCATTTTCGTGACGACACGTTCCTCTGAAGATTCTTCTGGGAATCCGATCCCTCTGAAGATCCCTTCGACTACTCCTGACCTGCGCACGTGGCTTCTGCGGTCTCGCGGAGTGCTCTGCCCCCCCCAAATAAGATAGTAGTTCGCCTATCTCGGCAAAGTTTCGGACAGTCCTCCGCCAAATGTGTCATGCAAAGTGGGGCTGGACGCGTGTCCGCGCAGAGTTTATCTCTGCTCCGCCTGCTCCACCAGTTGTCCGTCCTCTTGCGCGCAGGCCGCAGGCCCCTTTGCCACGGCGACGTAGAGGCCAAGCCAGGCAGGAAACGGGTCGCTCCCGCCCACGCCGTGGCATGTGGTTGTCCCGACAGTTGCCCAAATGATTCGGACGGTTGTCCCGCTCCCGATGATTGTTTGGACGGCTGTTCTGGTGGTTGTCCGAATGGTTGCCCCATGGTTGTCCCGACGGTTGCCCAGCTGGTTGTCTCGATTGCTATGCCGATGACAGTCCCGATTGTTGTCCTGTTGGTTGTCCTGGTGATTGTCGCGATGGATGTCCCGATGGTTGTCCCGATGGATGCGCAATGCGATCGACAGGCATGGTGACAGCGACATCGATACACTGATACCGAGCCCAGTACAGTGTGATATTGGTGTATTGGCGCGTGTATGTGCACATGCTTATACACACGATCAGTTGGTGCTTCGTTTGTTTTTGGGTGGTCTGGGGGTGCTGGGGGGATCGACCACATACACACATAGCTATATATATATATATATATACATACATACATATATATATATATACACGTAGCACCCCGCAATTGCGGATAAGAGTGAGGGGACGGGCGCGGGCGCGGGCGACGCGGGCGTCGTCGAGCCGGCGGACCTCGTGGCCCCCACCTCCTCCTCCTCCTCCTCTTTTCCGTCTCCTCCTCCCCCTCCTCCTCCTCTTCTTCGTCCTCGTCCTCATCGTCATCGTCATCTTCCTCCTCCACCTCGTCCTCCTCCTCTTCTTCCTCGTCCTCCCTCTCCCCCCCTCGTCCTTTCATCATCGTCCTCCCATTGTCGTCCGTCCCCTCATCGGCCTCCATCATCGTCCTCCCATTGTCGCCCATCATCATCATCCTCCCCTCCTCCCCCTCCTCGTCCTCCTCCTCCCCCTCCTCCCCCTCCTCGTCCTCCTGCTCGTCCTCCTTTTCTTTCTCCACATTCTCCTTACATCCTCTCTTCTTCCGCGTTCTTCTCGTCCCCTGTTTACTCCTCCTGCCTCCCCCTCCTTTCCCAAGATAGCTGCAACGCAATCCTTTTTTCCACTTTATGCTCCCCGCCTTCTCTGATCAAGGCAATTCGCCAGGGCAGAGTTGCTGGACGGGCTGGTGTGGATGCGCGGGGCTTGAAGAGGTCCTTGCGGGCTCAGACGGCATTCAAAAATCCGCCGCCGCGCTTGTGCGGCATTGGTTTATTCAGTGAACGTGGTTTAGGTCGCGCCGCGGGTTCTCCACCGGGAACGAATGCAAAACATGCCCGCCGCAGGCGCCGAACAATGTGGTTTGTACCCTGAACGTGGTCGCGGGTGGGCCGCGGGCTCTCCACCTGAAACGAATGCATAAGATGCCCGCCGCAGGCACCGAAAAATATGGTTTGTACCCTGAACGTGGTTTGGGTCGCGGGCTGGTGGCGAGTTGGTCACGGGGGGAGTTGCGGCCTCTTCACTTGGAAGGAATGCTTAAATAGCCCGCCGCAGGCGCCGAAAATGGTGGTTTGTACCTTGAACGTGGTTTGGGTCGCGGGTGGGTCTCGGGTGGGTCGCGGGGTAGGTCGCGGGTGGGTCGCGGGTGGGTCGCGGGTGGGTCGCGGGTGGGTCGCGGGTGGGTCGCGGGGTGGGCCGCGGGCGGGTCGCGGGGTGGGTCGCGGGGTGGGTCGCGGGGTGGGTCGCGGGGTGGGTCGCGGGGTGGGTCGCGGGGTGGGTCGCGGGTGGGCGCGGGTGGGTCGCGGGTGGGTCGCAGGGTGGGTCGCGGGGTGGGTCGCGGGTGGGTCGCGGGGCGGGTTGCGGGTGGGACGACGACAACAAACAACAACAACAAACAACACACAACAAACAACAACAACACCAACAACAACAACAACGAGAATCCGCACCGCGGAATTCCACTTCAGCCACGCACCCAGGGACAGTCAATGACCGTTCGGCCCCCTTCACTCTGATATATATGTATATGTATGTATGTATATGTATAGTTGTATATAAATATATATCTGTGCATAGCGATCGATATATGTATATATATATATATATACACATATACATATACATATACATATATATATATATATGTATTGGTTGCCCCGATGGTTGCCCCGATGAGTGCCCCGATGGATTCACAGTGAGACCAGCATGCCCAGATCGGCCCTGCCTTTCTCGAGTGGCGCACGTTGGGCCAGAGCCCCAAGGCAATGCCAGCCGTTGCCGCAGGAGCGCCCACCGGGAGCCCCAAGAAAGCTCCCGTCCTCGATGGACGACGCTCGATGATCGATGATCGAGGGTCGAGGCTCGATCGATGATCGAGGCTCGATGATCGAAGCGGGGATCGATGATCGCAGTGGGGGTCGAAGTGGGGATCGATGATCGAAGCTCGATGGCCGATCCCCGCCTCGATCGATGCTTGTGTCCACGAGCGTGCGCCTGACTCTCTTCCTTCTCCCCTTCTGCTCTTCCTGCTCCACCTCCTTCCCGTCCTCCTCCCCCTCCTCATCCTCATCCTCATCCTCCCCCTCCTACCCCTACCCTACCCTTCCTACCCCTCCCCCTCCTCCTCCTCCTCCTCCTCCTCCTCCTCCACCTCCTCCTCCTCCTCCTCCTCCTCCTCCTCCCCTCATTTTCCTCCACCTCCTCCTACTCCTCCTCCTCCTCTTGCTCCTCCCCCTCTCTCCTCGCATGCGAGACAACTCGCCACGTCGTAGCCCAGGTTGCTCGACGCGCGAGCGCATCGCCTCAGGGTGCGACCTGAACGGTGTTTTGGTGATCTCGTGGACTGGTTTCGTTTCGATTCCGCTTTGCAGCGAAGGCGAATTGAAGACAAAACGAGGGGGAACGAAAGCAAAACAAGACGAAAAACATTGCTTAGGTCGATCCCTGGATCGCCTATGCCGCGCCGCGATGGCAAAAAGTGCCCACGAGCGTCCCACATCTTTCCCTGGTGCCGGTTTCGCATCCCGAGCCGTTTTTGTCGACGGCCCCGGGGTCCCGCGATGGCTCCCAGAGGCCGCAGCGTTCAAACACTTCCCGTCCGTGCTTCCTTCACGACGTGTGCATGCCCTCAGGCGGCGGGAGTTCTACACGCTTTTTTTGCGAGGGCGGCGAGGCAGGGGAAGTCTGCGCTAGCGGCAATGCCTAAACGGAGGTGCCGTTAGAGCGACAGGTGCCACCATGCAAGCCCAGAGATCCGACGTCGTGAATTTTTCAATGCGGGGTCACTGGACCCCAATCCAAGTCCGTTTTTTTCATCTTGAGTCGGTTTCTTGACGGCTCCGAGGCCCAGCAGGGGGCCCTGGAGGCCGAGAACTGGGAAAAACGTCCGTCGTGATTGATGTCCATGCTGCGGATCTCGTTTGGAGAGAGGGAGCAGGAGGAGACGCGGCCGAAAGAGGGGGGCGGACGAGGCAAGCCGCTCATGGAGGGCGGGTCACGCCCCGAGCGTGTGGCGACGGGAGCGCTGCACGCCCAATGGCCACGGGCCTGGCGCAGTGATCAGTGCCGGCCCCTAGTAGCGGTGCACACGCCCCCGCATGGCTCGGCCAGGAAGGCATCTACACTTAAGTCGGGCCTGTCCCTCTACAAGAGGGATATGCAAAGAAAGTCAAACACATAATCAGGGAACGACTATTTGAATATGTTTGAGCATTCTTGGAATATTTTCGGTGTATCTTTTAATTTTCGCCCCAGGTCCCCCTGTAGGGAGACAGGCCCGACTTGAATCTACACCACTCCTGGGGCCAGGACGCAGTGAGAACAAGAGGGCCCCCTAACCCTAAGAACACGATGAAGACGTGGCCTCACTCACGACCCTGCGGGCCCCTAACCCTAGGAACGCGATGAAGGCGTGGCCTCACTGAGGTCCCCGTCGTTCACATCAGGCATCGTACGTCTGGGCGGCTTGGCACGGTACATCTGCAGAGGAAAAAGACCCCATCCCTAACGTTTTTCTGGCCCTCCTCACTGGGGTCCCCCTCCCACAGGGTCAGGGGGTCCTCTTTTGGTCCATCAAGGACGGGCCAGGCCTGGGGCAGAGGATGTGCATAGCTCTCGTTGCCCTATGTCTGGGATCCCTCCATTCCCGCCTCGATCGGCGGCCCTCGGCGCCGTCGTTGGCGTCGTCGCCGCCGCCGTCGTCGGCGGGATCGCATTCGTCGCCGCCGCCGTCGTCGTCGTCGTCGCCGCCGCCGCCGCCGTCGTCGTCGTCGTCGCCGCCGCCGTCGTCGTCGCGATCGACGCCTGGGCCCCCCTCGCCGCGCGGGGGGTGGGGCTTCCCGCGGCGCGAGGACGCGCGGCTGCGGTGCACGGCCCTGCTCGCTTGGAAGGCTGCCCGGCGCCCCCCCCCCGCTGGGCCCGCGCTGGCAGTACGTCGGGCACGTCCCTCTGCAGGGGGCATAGTCCAGGATAGTGGAAAAATAGTCTGTGGAGGATATTTCGATCATTTTGGATAATGGTTGGTTGATTATTTTTCATTATTTGTTGTTCTTCTTCCCAAACCTCGCCTGCAGGAGGACATGCCCGACCCAACGCTAGCAGGCCTCGTTGGCGGCCGGACCGCGCGGCTCTCCTCGGACTCAAACGGTGCCGAGCCGAGGGCGTCCTCGAAGAAGAAGGAACGCCATAAACATAAGCTGTTGGCGCGATCCGCGCGGATTTCTTGGAACTGCGCTGGGGCCCCCCGGCGGCGCATCCGGCGCCGCCCCTGGCGCGCGGAGCGCGCCAGGGAGCGCGCCCAGCGCAGACCCAAGAAATCCGCGCGGAGCACCAAAAGGTTATGTTTGTGGCTTTGTTCTGTTTCTGTACACGGCCAGGGGCTGCCTTGGCGCAGCGTAGCGCGCCGCCGGTTCTGGCCCACCGCGCCTCGGCGCGACACGCCGACCATGTCCCCGCCCCAAGCGTTAAGTCGGGCCTGTCCCTCTACAGGAGGAATATTCAATCATAGTCAAGAGTAGCCTGGGGCCGATGTGTTTGAGTCATGCTTGGATCTTATGGGGGCGTGTTTGAATTTTTCCCCACATCCTGAGTGGGGTTCTTGTTTTCCCAGAACACCCTCTCCTTCCCACCCACCTCCCGCTCCATCTTCCATACAGCACAATATTATTCCTACCACACACACCATACCATACCATAGTTCCTACCACACATACCATACCATACCATACCATACCATACCACACCATACGTACCATACCGTACCATACCATACCATGGCGTACCATAGCATACCATACCATATCACACCAATGCCACACCGTACAATACCATACCATACCTCCAGTACCATACCATACCATATCATACCATACCGTACCATACCATACCTACCATACCATTCCATACCACTCCATACCATACTATTACATGGTTTCGTGCCCCTCCCACCCCTCCAGGGAGGCCCCGCCTGAGCGAGGAGGGTATCGGAAACCATACTATTTACATGGTTTCGTGCCCCTCCCACCCCTCCAGGGAGGCCCCGCCTGAGCGAGGAGGGTATCGGAAAACCATACTATTTACATGGTTTCGTGCCCCTCCCACCCCTCCAGGGAGGCCCCGCCTGAGCGAGGAGGGTATCCGGAAAACCATACTATTTACATGGTTTCGTGCCCCTCCCACCCCTCCAGGGAGGCCCCGCCTGAGCGAGGAGGGTATCCGAAAACCATACTATTTACATGGTTTCGTGCCCCTCCCACCCCTCCAGGGAGGCCCCGCCTGAGCGAGGAGGGTATCCGAAAACCATACTATTTACATGGTTTCGTGCCCCTCCCACCTCTCCAGGGAGGCCCCGCCTGAGCGAGGAGGGTATCCGAAAACCATACTATTTACATGGTTTCGTGCCCCTCCCACCCCTCCAGGGAGGCCCCGCCTGAGCGAGGAGGGTATCGGAATACCATACTATTTACATGGTTTCGTGCCCCTCCCACCCCTCCAGGGAGGCCCCGCCTGAGCGAGGAGGGTATCCGAAAACCATACTATTTACATGGTTTCGTGCCCCTCCCACCCCTGCAGGGAGGCACCGCCTGAGCGAGGAGGGTATCCGAAAACCATACTATTTACATGGTTTCGTAGCCCTCCCCCCTTCCAGCGGGGCCCCGCCAAAGCGAGGAGGGCATCAAGAAAATGGGCCCCACGAAACCGTTAACCTCTTTATGTGGGGAACTCCGTTAGCATAATTCTAACAAATTGTTCGTCCAACATCCGCCTGTAGGAGGGCACGCCCGACTTCCGCCAAGCGCCAGTGTCTTGAGCTTTTCTCCGGCCTCGGCGCGGAGAAGGAGGGGAAGGAGGAGGAGGATGGGGGGGTGAAGGAGGAGGAGGGGGGGGGGGGAGAAGGACGAGGAGGAGTAGTAGGAGGAGGAGGAGGAGGAGGAGGAGGGGGGGGAGGAGGAGGAGGGGAAGAAGAGGGTCGGGGAATTCTCTCCCAGGATCGAGTGCCTCTATCGGCAGTGGCTGAAAACGCATCTGCCAGCCTGGGCGGGGTTTAAAATCGCCAGCCACCTGAAGTACTTAGGCCTACAAGTCGGGCCAGGAGCTGGTCAGGCTTCCTGGATTGCCCCCATCGCGAAGTGGACCACCCGTGCCACTGCCATCGCTGCCGCTGGTGCGCCGCCGCCGATCACATCGATGCTCTACGATAGCCGTGCTCTGTCCACACTGTCGTATGTCAGCCAGTTCCAGCGTCTCCCCTTTAAGGAGGTCGCACAGGTTGAGCACCGACTTTTCGAAATGATGTTCAAGATGCCTCACTGCTGTCTCTCGACAGCCGACTGGCTCCACCTTCACGAATGGGGCGGCCCCAAAGTGAAGAGCGCCATTCTCATGAATTTAACGACGCTAGTGCGCGCCTCGCTCAACACGCTTGGTATTTGGGCCGAGCTTTCAGCAACTCTTGCGCAGCGTGCGAGTGCCTGCCCATCGCTGCCTTTCTCTGCGGGCAGCACTATCCAGATTTTTGGTCAGGCCCGTGTCTGGCGCATGAGCTACAAGAAGCAGCCAACGGGTTCCAATCTCATATGCAGTGGAAATCCGCAGGGCCCAAGGCGGTCGAGGCTGCTAGTACGGCGATGCTGGAAGGCGACAAAGTCCAGCGTGCCGCTCTCGCTGCACTCAACACCCACCTCTTCCCTTCCACCCTCGCCCGTGATTTCTCTGCTCGGCTCCTCCACTTGTTCCCCAACTCCGCTCGGTCCATCAATCGCATCCCATGGAGCGAAGTTCGTCGGTATATAGTGATGTGCCCCACCTCCTGGGGCAACAGCTTCTGCAAGACCTGTGCAGGAGCTTGGACGACCGACAGCAGGTTTCAGAGATACAGGCACTCTTGCGTGTTCCGGTGCGGAGGTCCAGACAGGCAGAGTCACTACTTTGAATGTCGCCAGATGGACTCTTTGCTTCGCGAAGCCCTGAATCTGCCTTTCTTCTCACACTGCCCAATTCACCGACTCGGCCTTCTGTCCCCCACCCCTCTCGGTTTCAGCTATCTTGTTGCCGCTCATCAACTTTACTGTCTCGCCTCCTCCCGTCCTTCCCTCCCTTACAGCTCTGCCGATGCCGATGCTCTGCTCCCTGCCCTCTCCTCATCAATCGCTGGACTGTCTCGCGCTGCCCTTCGAGAGAGCAGCACGACGGGAACCAGCAGCACTTCCAGCACAACGCAGCAGGAGCGCCCAGCAGCGGACGCCCGTGCTGCCGCCGCCGACATCGCTGAGGATTGATGAACTTGACCCGATGGTACGAGCGCAGGAGGAGGGGAAGAAGAAGGAGGAGGAGGAGGAGGATGTGGAGGAACATGAGGAGGAGGGGAGGAGGAGGAGGAGGAGGAGGAGGAGGAGGAGGAGGAGGAGGAGGAGGAGGAGGAGGAGGAGGAGGAGGAGGAGAGGAGGAGGGAGGAGGAGAGGAGGGAGGAGGAGGAGGAGGAGGAGGAGGAGGAGGAGGAGGAGGAGGAGGAGGAGGAGGAGGAGGAGGAGGAGGGAGGAGGAGAGGAGGAGGAGGAGGAGGAGGAGGAGGAGGAGGAGGAGGAGGAGGAGGAGGAGGAAGGAGGAGGAGAGAGGGAAGAGGAGGAGGAGGAGGAGGAGGAGGAGGAGGAGGAGGAGGAGGAGGAGGAGGAGGAGGAGGAGGAGGAGGAGGAGGAGGAGGAGGAGGAGGAGGAGGGAGGGGGGGGGAGGGCAGGAGGAGGAGCAGGAGCAGGAGGAGGAGGAGGAGGGGCAGGAGCAGGTGGAGGCGGAGGAGGCGCAGGAGGAGGAGGAGCAGGAGGAGGGAGGAGGAGGAGGAGGAGGAGGAGGAGGAGGGGAGGAGGAGGAGGAGGAGGAGGAGGAGGAGGACGGGGGGGAGGAGGGGGAAGAGGAGGAGGAGGAGGAGGAGGAGGAGGAGGAGGAGGAGGAGGAGCAGGGGAGGAGGAGGAGGAGGAGGAGGAGGGAGGAGGAGGAGAGGAACAGCTGGAGGCGGTGGAGGAGCAGGAGGAGGAGGAGCAGCAGGGGGAGGAGGAGGAGGAGGAGGAGGAGGAGGAGCAGCTGGAGGCGGTGGAGGAGCAGGAGGAGGAGGAGCAGCAGGGGGAGTAGGAGGAGGAGGAGCAGCTGGAGGCGGTGGAGGAGCAGGAGGAGGAGGAGGAGCAGGGGGAGGAGGAGGAGGAGGAGGAGGAGGAGGAGGAGGAGGAGGAGGAGGAGGAGGAGGAGGAGGGGGCGGGAAAAGCTCAGGACGCTGACGACGTCCCCGCCCCGAGCGTCCAAGCGCCCCGAGCTTTTCTTGGCCCCCCACCCCGCGGAGCGGAGCGACGCGCTATCACCTCGCAGGGCGCGCGGCGTGTCTCGCTGGAGCCACTGCCGCCACGCTGTGCCAAACTCGGCCTCTGTGGGCCCTTACCGGGCCTCGGGACTGTCAAAAGGTGATTCAGGAAGGAAAACCGGTCCTGGGGAATGGGTCGAGACTCCCCAGGACCCCGTATTGAACAAATCACGACATCGGATCTCGGGGTATTATGGGTCTTGTAGGCCCCCCCCCCCCTGGGGCCAACATGCCGTAGCACCCCGCAGATGCGGATAAGAGCGACGGGGCGGCGGGGACGTTTGCAGTCTGCGGGGCTCTGACGAACCCCGCCGCAGGCTCTTCAGTTTTGCAGATTGCACAGCGGGCCCGCCGCAGGCGCCAATCTGTCGTTCAAGCCATGTGGGTGGGTCGCGGGGCGGGTCGCGGGTGGGCCGCAGGTGGACGGCGGGTGGGTCGCGGATGGGTCGCGGATGGGTCGTGGGTGGGTCGCGGGTAGGTCGCGGGTGGGTCGCGGGGTGGGTCGCGGGGTGGATCACGGGGTGGGTCGCGGGTGGGTCGCGGGTTG